ATGGGATTTCTTTCCCTTTTTTTAGGTCTTTAATTTCCTTCAACAATGTTTTGAAGTTTTTAGTGTACAAGTCTGCTTTTGTTGCTCAGTTTGTTTTCATCTTTGGACTTTGCTTGTAGTAATTTTTGATGTGCAGAAAATTTCATTTTTATGTAATCAAATATCAGTTTTAGTTTTTAAAATGGATAAAATATTTGAGGCTTTCTTAAAAAATATTTTTAATATGTTTTTATTGAAAGAGAGGAAGGGAGAGGGAGAGATAGAAACATCAGTGATGAGAGAGACTCACTGATCAGCTGCCTCCTGCACGCCCCACACTGGGGACCGAACCCACAACCCAGGCATGTGCCCTTGACTGAAATCTAACCTTGGACCCTTCAGTCCACAGGCTGACGCTCTATCCACTGAGCCAAATCAGCTAGGCATAGATAAAATATTTTAATAGATTTCCCCCCAATGAGATAGACACATGGTTAAATGAGCATGTGAAACATTAGTGAGATTCCACTTCAACACACTATAATCAAATGGCTATGAGAAGATAGTAACATGTATTGATTGGCCAGGAAGTAGAGAAGCAGGAACTTTCATATGTTACCTGTGTGAATGTAAAATGATACAGCCAGTTTGGCAGTTTCTTAAAAAGTTAAACAAAAACTTATCTGATTCAGCAATTCCACTTCTAGGTATTTACCCAAGAGAAATGAAGCCATTTGTCTTCACAAAGACTTGCATGTTTATTTTCTCAGAAGCAGTGTTCATAGGAGTAAAAAACTGGAAACCAAGTATCTGTCAGCTGGTGAGTAGATAAACAAAATGATATCTATACCATGGACAACTGTTCAGCAATAAAAGGAATGAAGTATGATACATGCCATAATGTGGTGGAATCTTGAAAACATATTGAGTGAAAGCCAGATTTTTGTTTATTTTTTATTATTTTATTTTATTTTTTAAAAAATATTTTATTGGTCTTTTACAGAGAGGAAGGGAGAGGGATAGAGAGCTAGAAACATCGATGAGAGAGAGACGCCGACCAGCTGCCTCCTGCACACCCCCTACCAGGGATGTGCCCACAACCAAGGTACATGCCCTTGACTGGAATCGAACCTGGGACCCTTCAGTCCACAGACCGACATTCTTTTTTTTTTTTTTTTTTAAATATATTTTATTGATTTTTTACAGAGAGGAAGAGAGAGGGATAGATAGCTAGAAACGTCGATGAGAGAGAAACATCGACCAGCTGCCTCCTGCACACCTCCTACCGGGGATGTGCCCGCAACCAATGTACATGCCTTGGACCGGAATCGAACCTGGGACCTTTCAGTCCGCAGACCGACGCTCTACCATTGAGCCAAACCGGCTTCGGCCACAGACCGACGTTCTATCCACTGAGCCAAACTGGTTTCGGTGAAGCCAGACTTTTAAAAGCTACATATTATATGATTCCATCTAAATGAAATGTTCAGAAAAGGTAAATCTATAGAGACAGCAGATTAGTGATTTCCTGGGGGTGGGAATCATTACTGCAAACAGCAAGAGGGATCTTTTCGGGGAGTGTTCTAGCTCTCTATCCCCTTTCTGTTCCTCTCTGTAAAAAATCAATAATATATTAAAAAGAAAAGTAAAAGAGAAAAATAAAAGAATGGAATTCCCATGATGATGCTAAAAAAAAACACCTTTGCATCTTAAGGCTTCACTTGTATGGCAAACCAGTTTCTGCCTTGATGAACTTAGTTTTGTTTTTCCACTTAACTCATTATCAGTGAGTTTTTAGCCAAGTTCTTTCATAGATAATTAACTCTTTTTCTGTTTTGCAAATGAAAAACCCTGAAGCTCAAAAGTTAAAAGCCTTAGTCACAGAGAGAATTGGTGGTAAAGGGTCAACTAAATCCTCCATCTTTTGACTTTGAACCTATGTTTGGCTAAATGAGAATACTTACTAAAGAAATTTATTTACTTGGGAAGGAAGTTCTGGGTAAACATGCTAATGTCTCTAGATCAGTAGTTTGGTTTTTTTAAAAATACATATTTTATTGATTTTTTACAGAGAGGAAGGGAGAGGGATAGAGAGCTAGAAACATCGCTGAGAGAGAAACCTTTCAGTCCGTGGACCGAACTTTCTATCCACTGAGCCAAATCGGTTTTGGCAATCCGATTTATGAGTGATTTTAGCTCACCAGAGACCATTTAGCAATTCTTGTTTTTTTTTTACAACTTGGGGAGGAGGTGCTACAACATCTAGTGGGTACTACTAAACATCTTGCAATGCATGGGATACTCCTCTAACAACTAAGAATTACCCAGACCTAAATGTCAGTAGTGCCAAGGTGAAGAAATTTTGCTATAGACCATATTTCAGAAAGCTTTATTCATTCAGTAAGCAAATATTACAGTTGGGAGACTAATTTATAGCATCAGTGAAATGATGGGCATTCTTAGACTTTTCTTATTTGTACCTTTCAATTTGTTAATCAGTGGAATAAGATGTAGAAGATGGAGGGAAAGTAATACTAACAGTCTATTTCAAAATCACAAGCAAATTACCTGTGGTTTTTTGTTTTTTTTCCCTCCACCCAAGGATATTTTTTCATTGAATTTTAGAGAGAGTGGAAGAAAGGGAGAGACAGAAATATCGATGTGAGAGAGACACATCGATTGGTTGCATCCTGATAAGGGCCCTGACCAGGAGGAGCCTGTAACGAAGGTATGTGCCCTTGACCTGACTCAAACCCAGAACTCTTTGGTCTGCAGACTGACACTCTATCCAATAAGCCAAACCAGTTGGGGTGCAAATTACCTTTTTAAAAAAAATCATTTAAAATGTTGCACTTAATATGCATACTAAACTGATGGCTGAAACTTACTTTGAAATGAGTCAAAGTAAAAAAGTAATTGATGGATGACGAAGGGGATGGATAAGTAGATATGTAATAAGGCAACACAGTAAAATGTTCATTGTATAATCTAGTGGGTAAGTATATGGAGGTTCACTATATAATTCTATATTTTTATATGTTTGAAATTTTTCATAATGGGCAAAATAAAAAACATATACTCTTAATAGACAGAGGATTATTGTAAACCACATAGTTAATTTTGCTGGGGAATCTCAGACAAGTTACTTAACTTTTATTTTTTTATTAAACATTTCTTTTTTTATTTCAGAGAGGGGAAAGGAGAGAAGGAGAGAGACAGAAACATGAATGAAAGAGAATCATCCATCAGCTGCCTCCTGCACACCTCCTACTGGGATTGAGCCCTGACTGGGAATCAAACCGGAGACTCCTTGATTCATGGGAAGACTCAACCACAGAGCCACACTAGCTGGGCAACAAGTTATTTAAATTTTAAAAGTTCATTTGGCTCAGTGGATAAAGCGTTGGCCTGCAGACTAAAAGATCCCAGGTTCGATTCCAGTCAAGGACATGTACCTAGGTTGCAGGCACATCCCCAGTAGGGGGTGTGCAAGAGGTGGCTGATTGATGTATCTAACTCTCTGTCCCTCTCCCTTTCTCTCAGTAAAAAATCAATAAAATATATATATATTTTTAAAAAGTTCATCTGAATAATGGTTGATGTATGGCTTAAATAAGATACTAATATTGTGGTGTTCAAATGAAATCATGAATGTAACAGCACTTGGAAAAGCATAAAGCGCTCTAAAATAAAAATATAAGGCGTTAATATTGGGAAGGATGAGTGTTTGACTAATTATACACCATGGCTCTATGTGTTCTTGACAACTCCCTGTGTAATACCATTCACACTATTTTTTTGCATTTGGAAGTACAAAGCAATCATTTCCATAACAATTTCTGTCAAATATTTCTTAAATATTTGTGAAAGACTTAGATTCCTATTTTGAAGGAAAGAATTATTCTGTCTTTGCAAACTTTAATATTTTTTCTTGTTTTATTTATAGACTGCCAAGGTCTCCACGTAAGGCAGAGGGAATCTTCTCTGTGAAACACTGGGCAGGAGGATGCCAAATGTCTGCATTATACTATGGAGTTCGAACTTCAGAAGTCTTTGGGTTAAGCAGTAACATTTACTCTGTAAATGATTATGTCTTCGTTTGTCCTTTATGACTATCACAAACTGATGAAACACCTTTTTAGGTCTTATGAGTTTGGGTCACACCATTTTCCGGATGCTTTGGCAACTGAAACAGGTAAGATTGGGCTGGGTGTTATGGGGAAGGGAAAGAGCTAACCTTTCCCATTCTCTAGTCCTTGCTTAAGTTAAATATCTGTGCATGTACAGATTAGATTAACTAATCTAGATTGTTTTATGAAACAGGATTGAACCTAAAGAAATGCTTTAATTGTTACATTTGGTTTTTAAAACTATAGAGATCTTCACTTATATTTTGTTTGAGGGTTTATTTTAAGTATATTTTTATTTATTTCAAAGAGAGGTGGAAAGAGAGAGAAACATCAATGATGAGAAAGGGTCATTGATCAGCTGCCTCCTGCACACCCCATACTGGCGATCAAACCTGCAACCCAGACATGTGCCCTTGACTGGAATCGAAACCAGGAACTTTCAGTCCGCAGGCGGATGCTCTATCCACTGAGCCAAACTGTTTGAGGGTTTAAATTGATGTTGTGTTTGAGGGTACAATTTGAAGGTAGTGGATAGTTTCTTTTTCTTTTTCTTTTTTTTTTTTTTTTGGTAAGAAAGCATTTACTTGGTAAAACACAGAGTAGAAGAAGTAATTCCTAGAAGAAATGAGCTTACGGAACAAGTTATAGAAGTAAAGGATGGGCCCTTGGAGCTTGGGAGTGAGGAAGCTAATGGTAACCTGTCTGGGGCAGGGAGGAAGTGGGGTAAAGGGATAGGGAAAGAAAAAGAAAAAGGCACTGATGTATTTAGTAAGGAGAGCACCTGGATAGCTTCTTGATGTTTCACTTTCTCTATTGAATATCATAAGTGATTTTAACTCTGTGTGTATGTATGCTGATGGACTTACTGCTTTTTCTAGGGGTTTATGAAAAATGGAACCAAACTCTCTGAGGACTAAAGTCCCAGCTTTCTTATCTGATTTGGGGAAGGCCACATTGAGGGGAATAAGAAAGTGTCCCCGATGTGGCACATACAATGGAACCCGAGGACTGAGCTGTAAAAACAAGACGTGTGGAACTATATTCCGCTATGGTGCACGGAAGCAGCCTAGTGTGGAAGCTGTCAAAATCATAACAGGCTCTGATCTGCAGGTCTACTCAGTGCGGCAAAGAGACCGGGGCCCCGACTACAGATGCTTTGTAGAGCTAGGTGTTTCAGAGACGACAATCCAAACAGTAGATGGGACGATCATCACTCAGCTGAGCTCTGGACGATGCTATGTCCCCTCCTGCCTGAAAGCTGCCACCCAGGGTGTTGTGGAAAACCAGTGCCAGCACATCAAGTTGGCAATAAACTGTCAGGCAGAGGCCACCCCTCTGACTCTGAAGAGCTCTGTCCTGAATGCAATGCAGGCCTCCTCAGAAACCAAGCAAACCATCTGGCAGTTGGCCACAGAACCCACAGGTCCGCTCGTCCAGAGAATTACTAAAAACATTTTGGTGGTGAAATGCAAGGCGAGCCAGAAGCATAGTTTGGGGTACTTGCATACATCCTTTGTGCAGAAAATCAATGCCAAAAGCTTGCCTGAACGCCGTTTCTTCTGTTCCTGCCAGACTCTGAAGTCGCACAAGTCGAATGCCTCCAAGGATGAGGCAGCACAGAGATGCATTCATTTCTTTGCTTGCATCTGTGCCTTTGCCAGTGATGAGACATTGGCTCAGGAATTCTCAGACTTCCTAAATTTTGATTCCAGCGGTAGGTGGTATGGTGACACACTCTGTTTTACTAAAATGACAATGAAAGTGTTCCACTGATGACATTTGGAGATTGTCCTAGCGACCTTCAGAAGCAGTTGCTAGATAATTCAGATGAAAAGCATTCCTTCTTTTTATTTATTTATTTATTTATTTATTTATTTATTTTTAATACATTTTTTAATTAATTTTTTACAGAGAGGAAGAGAGAGGGATAGAGAGTTAGAAACATCGATGAGAGAAAATCATCGATCACCTGCCTCTTGCAACCAAAGTACATGCCCTTGACCGGAATCAAACCCGGGACCTTCCAGTCTGCAGGCCAACGCTCTATCCACTGAGCCAAACTGGTTTCGGCACAAATGTCAGTATTTTAATCTTTCTTATGGCTGAGTAGTATTCCATTGTAAATATGTACCATATCATCTTTATCCAATTATCCATTGAAGGACACTTTTGTTGTTTCCATGTCTTGGCCACCATGAATAATGCTGCCATAAACATAGGGGTACATATATCTTTATGAATAACTTTTCAAATTATTTGGGTAGGTACCCAGAAGAAGGTTTGCTGGGTCAGATGGTAGCTCTATTAATTTCTTGAGGCACCTCTATATTGTTTTCCACTGTGGCCTTGTCAGTTTTCATTCTCACCAGTAGTGTATGAGGGTTCCTTTTTCTCCACATGCTCTCCAATACTTGTTATTTCTTATCTTATTGAAAATAACCATTCCAATAGGTGTGAGGTGACATGTTATTGTCATTTTGATTTGTACTTCAAATGAACTTTTTTAATGTAGACAAATCACTCCATTGTTTGGGGATTTGGATTTTTATAAGTTCATTTTTCTTTAAATAGAGACCCATACTTCCTCCTGGGTAGTATTAATAATTCAGAAATATGTTATATTTTAGGTCTTAAAGAGATTATTGTGCCCCAGTTGGATTGCCATTCAGAATCAACAGTATCAGCTTGTGAGTCTACTCCATCTAAAGTGAAGAAGAGGAAAAAGGATGAAGTACCCAGTAAGGAGCTCTTTGGTTTGTTTATGATTTTTTTGTGTGTGTGGGTTGTTGTTTTTTTGTTTTGATTTTTTTATGGTTTTATCTTTAGAGACTGTTTTATGTGTTTCACTGGATTTCAGCAATAATAAGAATCAGTTTTTATGTGTTTCTTTTCCTGAAAAAAATTATGTCTTCCAGTGATATTTCTTTCTCCAGTCAAGCTAAGAATTGGTTTTACTGATTAAATATAAGATCAAACCAAACTCAGCTCTTATTATTGAATATGTTTATTCATCCCTTAAAAATTCAGACTAGTCTTAAACCCTAACCTGCCTTCGGACAGTGTTAGAAGGTTTCCATCCATAGAATGTTTTTAAAAACTTGTGACAATAAGTCATTATCTTTCTACATTAATATAGGAATATAGTTTGTTACTTGAAAATAACAAGTAATAATGCCACTGTCAGTTAAGGACCCTTACAAATCAATATGAAATTATTGAAGTATTCTAATAGATAAGTGTCAAAAGACATAGACTTTATTTATTTATTTATTAAATATATTTTATTGATTTTGTACAGAGAGGAAGGGAGAGAGACAGAGAGTTAGAAACATCGATGAGAGAGAGTCATCGATCAGCTGCCTCTTGCACACCCCCTACTGGGGATATGCCCACAACCAAGGTACATGCCCTTGGCCGGAATCGAACCTGGAGCCCTTCAGTCCCCATGCCGACGCTTTATCCATTGAGCCAAACCGGTCTTGGCGACTTTATTTATTTTTTTAAAATATATATTTTATTGATTTTTTACAGAGAGGAAGGGAGGAAGGGAGAGGGATAGAGAGTTAGAAACATCGATGAGAGAGAAACATCAATCAGCTGCCTCCTGCACACCTCCCACTGGGGAGTGTCCACAACCAAGGTACATGCCCTTGACTGGAATTGAACCTGGGACCCTTGAGTCCCCAGGCCGACGCTCTATCCACTATACCAAACTGTCTGGGGCAAGACATACAATTTAAATAAAGAGAAAATTTTACCTGGTTTGTAAATGTGGACAAAACTCCAAACTCAATGGTGAAGAGTCCTCCTCTGCAGGCCTGGTTGCCCCCAAAAAGGAACCCTCATACACTACTGGTGAAATAAAAAATTTTAGAAATACAAAAATTAAAATAAGATACTTTTTGCTACCAAATTAGCAAGTATTTTTAAAATTATGAGACCACAAGTAAAGGAGGTGAAGTTCAGGCTCTCTGGCATGGTTAGTGCAGTATAAATTGCCATAATTATCTGTTAAGAACCTGAAAAATCTATTCATAGGGATAATTGTTAAAGGTGAATCAGGTGATTATGCACAGGAGTTTTAGTGCTGGGAAGTTGGAGAAAGGGGGATAAAGTGACACGATCACTTTCATGTTGTAAGAGTTAATTCTAGCAGCAGTGTGTGTTGCAAAGATTGTTGTTAAACGTTTATTTATCAGTCTTTTCCAGGAAATCTTGAAATTCAAATATATAGTAAAGTTCTTTTCCTTTGATGTAGTAATCCACTTTTAAATAATAATTTTTAAGGAAATAATGCTCGGTACAGGAAAAGCATTTTATCCAGAAATGCTCATTTTATCATTATTCTATATAATAAAGAGGTAATATGCAAATTGACCATCACTCCAACACACAAGATGGTCACCCCCATGTGGACACAAGATGGCTGCCACAAGATGGCCAGCAGGGAAGGGCAGTTGTGGGTGATCAGGCCAGCAAGGGAGGGTAGTTGGGAGGGACCAGGCCTACAAGGGAGGGCAGTTGGGGGTGATCAGACCTGCAGGGGAGGGAAGTTAGGGGTGACTGGGCTAGCAGAGGAGGGCAGTTGGGGGTGACCAGGTCTGCAGAGGAGGACAGTTCGGGGGTGGGGGGACCAGGCCAGCAGGGGAGGGCAGTTAGGGGTGACCAGGCTGGCAGGGGAGTGGTTAGGGGGTGATCAGGCTGGCAGGCAGAAGTGGTTAGGGGCAATCAGGCAGGCAGGCAGGTGAGCGGTTGGGAGCCAGTAGTCCTGGATTGTGAGAGGGATCACAAATTGCAGAGGGTGCAGGCTGGGCTGAGAGACACCCAACCTTGTGCATGAATTTTGTGCACCAGGCCTATAGTCTATATAAAAGCCTAAGCAACTGTTAAGACTTGATGACTGGCCAGCTGCTATGATGCACACTGACCACCAGGGGGCATATGCTCAATGCAGGAGCTGCCCTCTGGTTGTTAGTGTACACCCATAGCCAACCTCCTGCTGATGGCCAAACTCCTGCTGTCCCTCCCCCTAGCCTGCCTGGGCAAGATTGGGTGAGATGGCCCCGATTGGCCCAATTGCTGGCCAGGCCAAGAGACTCCACCAATGCAGGCCTCTACTTTATAATATTAAAAAATTAGAAATAATTAAGCCCAACCACTGTGGATAGTTAAATGAACCATGATAAAACCACTTGCTAGAATATCAGGCAACCACTGAAAATGATTACATAGAATTTGGAGAAATTTTTAGGTCACTCAGGTAGCCAGACAAAGTACAGAATTGACTTTGTAATAAAAAATGAATATTTTTTAATATAATTATTTCCCATGCTATATTTGAAACATACATTAGAGATTCATTTATTTGAAATTTTATTTATTTATTTATTTTGCTAAATCTAGCAATCCTGGTAAAATCAGTTACTTAAAAATCACAAAAACCAGCAAAATAATCTATTCATAGGGAAAAAAGGAAGATAATTCACCAGAAAATTAATAGTGTTTGTCTGAGAGGTGGAAACAATGGGTGAAATTTTTTTTTCCTCTTTCACTTCTGGTTTCTCCCACTTTCTTAGATTTTCAGAAACTTAAAATGTTATTTATAAAGGCTAATTCTAAGTTATAAATTAGGATTTATCATAGCTAACTTAGAAATTATAAAAGACTTTTCATGTTTTAGACTCTTTAGAAATGACTATAGAATCTATTTATATTCTACAGGCATGTTATTAAACACTGTAATGATTTATGGTTTAGGTGCACAGACGAACAGTTCACTGTTGCCTCAGGATGCACTGAGCAGTAATCTAAGGAAAAGTGGCCTGAAAAAGCCTGTGGTTGCTTCTTCATTAAAAAGGCAGGGTAAGTTTCCCTGCCCCAGGATAAGCTAAAAAGGTTGGAAATCATCCGAAAGAAGGTAAAAACAATAAATCCAAAGAAACATTGCATGGTGTCCTCAAAGGAATGCTAAGATAAACTCTAGTAGGCACTGAGGACGAAGTCTGTCTTGTCCCAGGGGTTTCAAATCATGCTCAAATGCTCAAAACTAAATTGTAACTCAGCCAGTGCTGCTCAGTGGTTAAGCATTCATCAGGACCCAGATTGATTGTTGTTCAGAGCACTTGCCCAGGTTGGGGACTTGATCCCCAATAGGGGGCATGCAGGAGGCAGCCAGTCAATGATTCTCTCTCCCTCTCTGAAATCAATAAAAATAAATTTAAAACAACAACAAATTGTATTGTTTAAGTAACAAATCCAACAAAAATTACTGACTGGTTTGGTAGAGATATTTTGTAAGGATTTCCCCTCTTGTTTATTAGCTATATGCACTTAGTATGGAGATTTAAAATTATTGTTTTTTAAAGTATGTTTTTATTTATTTCAGAGAGGAAGGAAGAGGGAGAGAGAGATAGAAACATCAATGATAAGAGAGAATCATTGATTGGCTGCCTCCTGCATGCTCCTCCTCCTCCTGCTGGGGACTGGGCCCTCAGCCTAGGCATTTGCCCCTGACCGGAATTGAACCTGGGACCATTCAGTCAGCAGGCTGACGCTCTATCCACTGAGCCAAACCAGCTAGGACAGCCAAAGTTGAAGAAGAAACATGTTTATAATTATTCAGTGATAAACATTTGTTGAGAAAGACAAATAATATAATCGGTTCTCCACAGTTAGTGAAGTTCTGAATTTATGAAGACAGAATAACTAAATTTGAACATAACGTATATTTATATATACATATATATATCTTTTCTACTGAGAATAAGCTTAGCTATTTGAGGAATCAACCTTTTATAAACCTCTACTTATACATTCTGTAAAAATAGTTTAGTTCAATTTTGGTAGTATTGATTGAATACTTGCTAAGATATTATTGGCCACGTAATATGATTGGGTGATTAAAAACTAGATATCATCTCTGCCCTCATATTCTGATTTTGAAGATGAATACATAAATATAATACAAGACCAAATCTAATTAAGAACTTACACATTCCAGAAATAAATGTCTTTGGAAGGTCAGTAAATAAACAGATCAACTGTATCAGGTAGGTTTTCTACAAATTCTCATCACTTTCTTTGGCACAAAGAAGAAAGAAAATAGCTTTTAATCTAAATTATCACTATATACATTTACCAATGAGAATTTTAATTTCAAATGGATAGTAGTTGTGGCATTAGAAATGTGAAAACATTTCAGGAGAAGGAATAGAATAGAATATTTCCTTATATTAATATACAGACATATTAACCAGAAATAGGACTAATTTATAGATCTCTAAGAGCCATTATATAAGGACATTCTTCACTTTGCAGTTTATTGTTAAAAGGCTGCAAACTTTCTGTGGTTACTAATCTTGGACCTATTAGTATCTCAGAGCTTTTCATTTCTTTTTTCCTAAATGGATTTTTTGGAAAAACAAATTCTGGAATCTTCTATTTTACTTAATTTCTTTGAATTTCAGCTTCTTGTTCTTTTTTTATCTGTGCAAATGCCTTAAAGTCTTCAAACTTCAATTAACTGTTTCTTTTGTAAGAAAAAAATAACAGTTACTAAAACGTTGTTTTGTTTTTACTAGCCTGCAGTCAGCTGTTAGATGAGGCACAAGTGACCTTATCCTTCCAAGACTGGCTGGCCAGTGTCACAGAACGCATCCATCAAACCATGCACTATCAATTTGATGGTAAGTATTGGTCACCCAACTGGGCTGTTGCTGAAAGTAGGATAAATTAAAGTAATTGTGCTAGAGTTCTCTATTGTTGTTTTTTTGTTTGTTTTGTTTTTTAAATATTTTTTATTGATTTTAGAGAGAGGAAGGGAGAAGATATAGATAGAAACATCAGTGATGAGAGAGAATCATTGCTCGGGTGCTTCCTGCATGCTCCCTACTGGGGATCAAGGCTGCAACCGGGAATCAAATCTTGACCTCATGGTTCAAGGGCCATCACTCAACTACTGAGCAACACTGGCTGGACTAGAGTTCTCTCTGTGTTGTCTTTGTTGGGCATGTGCCCTTGACTGGAATCAAATCTGGGACCCTTCAGTATGCAGGCCGATGCTCTATCCACTGAGCCAAACATGCTAGGGCGAGTTCTCTGTTTTGATAGAAAAAATAACTGGGCCCTGACTGGTTTGGCTCAGTGGATAGAGCATCAGCCTGTGGACTGAAGGGTCCCGGGTTCGATTCCAGTCAAGGGCATGTACCTTGGTTGAGGGCACATCCCCAGTAGGGGTGTGCAGGAGGCAGCTGATTGTTGTTTCTCTCTCATTGATGTTTCTAGCTCTCCCTCTCCCTTCCTCTCTGTAAAAAATCAATAAAATATATTTAAAAAATTGCCGAGACCGGTTTGGCTCAATGGATAGAGCGTCGGCTTGGGGACCGAAGGGACCCGGGTTCAATTCCGGTCAAGGGCATGTACCTTGGTTACAGGCATATCCCCAGTAGGGGGTGTGCAAGAGGCAGCTGATCAATGACTCTCTCTCATCGATGTTTCTGGCTCTCTATCTTCTCCCTTCCTCTCTGTACAAAATCAATAAAATATATTTTTTTAAAAAATAATAATAATAACAACTGGGCTTGACTTTTTCAAAACTTCAATTACATTGGACCACAAAAAGCAGAAATCTACGTGAAAAAAGAAAATACATAATTTAAATGCAGTATCAGCAAAATTAATTTAGAAATGGAAGAGGAAAAACAGAGCAAATAATAAGTAAAGATAGATATCTTTGATCTTGGGGGTATGATATTTGGTGGTGTTAGCTTGACCTTTGTTCCAAAAAGGCATCTAAAATGTCCTTAAGAGTCTTTCTGTAAGAGATATTCTTTGTTTATCCACAAGATTCTGGATGTTTTCTCTCTGCTAGGGTTCGGTAGCCCCTTGAACACAGTTTTTTAAGAAAAACTCAGAACTCTTTCAACTCCTTCCTTGAACATTCTGTTGACTTTTATTGACCTAGTGTCTTGTAAACTTCTTTAAAGGTTTGTTAAGTATTTTCAAACATTTATCTGCCTTGAGATCATATTCAGAGAGAAAAAACTGGTGTTTATTGGATAGTCTCCTAATTTTGTGGTCTTCTTTTTTTAAACTTTGAAATAGTTTTATTGGTTCATAAAGCCTGTGCATATAAAAAAAATCCTAACACTATGCAGTATTTAAATCACAATCTAATTTTTTAAAAAAATATATTTTATTGACTTTTCACAGAGAGGAAGGGAGAGAGCCAGAGAGCCAGAAACGTTGATGAGAGAGAAACGTCGACCAGCCGCCTCCTGCACATCCCCCACCGGGGATGTGCCCGCAGCCAACGTACATGACCTTGACCAGAATTGAACCCGGGACCCTTCAGTCCGCAGTCCGACGCTCTACCACTGAGCCAAACCGGCTTCGGCCACAATCTAATTTTTTTTTTACCAATTAAAGCTACCCAGAATATACATTTTTTTAAAAAATCCTACAGAACTTGCCAAAACCGGTTTGGCTCAGTAGATAGAGCATCAGTCTATGGACTGAAAGGTTCCAGGTTCGATTCCGGTCAAGGGCATGTGCATTGGTTGCGGGCACATTCCCGGGAGGGGGTGTGCAGGAGGCAGCTGGTCGATGTCTCTCTCTCATCGATGTTTCTAGCTCTCCATCTCTCTCCCTTCCTCTCTGTAAAAAATCAATAAAATATATATATTTTTAAAAATCCTACAGAACTACCTGGCCAGTTTCGCTCTGTGGTTGAATGTCAACTCATGAACCAAGAGGTCCCCTGTTCGATTCCTGGTCAGGGCACATGCCTGTTTGCAGGCCCAATCCCCAATAAGGGGTGTGCAGGAGGCAGCCAATTGATGTCTTTCATCGATGGTTTCTATATCCTCCTCCCTTCCTTTCTCTCTAAAATTAATAAAAAAACATAGTTATAAAAAAAATCCTACGGAACTAAATTTTGAAGTGACATTATTTAATACTATGACAACATAGATAATTCCTTATAACATTAATTCATTGAACAAAGCTGCCAGATACTTTCATAAGCGTAGCCATTGCAAAGTGCAAATGAACAGTTTCAACATTACACTTTTAGTTGAAGTAACTATGCTTCCAACTAGGAGCTCTCAAATTTCTGGCATAAAAATTTGGTCTGTTTTAACTGAATGAGTTTCTTCTTATTTCCTAAAGGCAAACCAGAGCCACTAGTGTTCCACATTCCTCAGTCTTTTTTTGATGCCCTACAACAGAGAATATCTATTGGAAGTACAAAAAAAAGGCTTCCCAACTCCACTACAGGTATGGGATTTTTTCTTCAGCAATAGCCACAGATGTCTTCCCTATATTTCAAAAAATAGGGAATTATGTTTGGAAGTATCGTGTGGAATTTTCAGAATTAGGACTTTTAGCTGCATGCTGAGAGCATGAAGCCTTAGCCAGTCAGCTCTTGGAATAATGATCTCATTTTTCAGTGCAACCCCATATTTACTCCAGCGCAAGTAAATGGAACAATTCAGAAAGCACAGACTTGGTAAAAGAACAATGAAGTGCAATGAATGTGCCCACCAAGAAGTTTGATATTTTCTATATATGAATCTATTTCAACAAAAGCATTATAGACTCCAATCATTATTTGGCTGGCTTCTTGGAGGCATATTACAGTATATGTCAAAAACTAAAACTTGCCAAGACCGGTTTGGCTCAATGGATAGAGCGTCGGCTCAATGGATAGAGGGTCCCGGGTTCGATTCCAGTCAAGGGCATGTACCTTGGTTGCGGGCATATCTTCAGTAGGGGGTGTGCAAGAGGCAGCTGATCGATGACTCTCTCTCATCGATGTTTCTAACTATCTCTCTCCCTTCTTCTCTGTACAAAATCAATAAAATATATTAAAAAACAAACAAACAAAAACAAACCTAAAACTTGCTTAGCTGGTGTGGCTCTATGGTTGAGTGTTGACCTATTAACCAAGTCATGCGCACATCCTTAGGTTGCAGGTTCAATCCCCAGTAGGGGGTGTGCAGAAGGTAGCTGATCAATGATTCTCTCATCATTGATGTTTCTCTCTCTCTCCCTTTCCCTCTCTGAAATAAAAAATATATTTAAACACACACACACATCCCTAAAACTTATTTTTTGTGACTCCTAATTTTTGATGAAGACTTTAGATTATTCTTAGGCTTGGAACACTTTATCATTACATTATTCTGATACTTATTTCTTGGTTTTACATAATGTCTTTCTATTAGACATCTCAACATATTTATTGGGTAGCAAAAGGAAATAAGGGAGAGAAAAGGAGGAAGAAAGAATTACTCAGTAATGACAGCTAGAAATCAATTCTATTTTTTCAACAAATTTATTTGATGAGCCTGGCCAGTGTTTTTCAGTGGTTGAGTGTCGACCTATGAACCAGGAGGTCATGGTTCAATTCCTTGGTCAGGGCACATGCCTCGGTTGTAGGCTCGATCCCTGGTAGGGGTTGTGCAGGAAGTAGCTAATCAATTATTTTCTCTCATCATTGATGTTTCTATCTCTCTCTCCCTCTTCCTTCCTCTCTGAAATTAGTAAAAAATAATTTTAAAAAAATTGTTACTTGATGATATAATAACCCTGTTTCCCCGAAAATAAGACAGTGTCTTATATTAATTTTTGCTCCCAAAGATGCGCAAGGTCTTATTTTCAGAGGATGTCTTATTTTTCCATGAAGAAGAATACGGTACACATTTATTGTTAAATGAAAATAAAGGAAATTTATTACCTGTTTACGGTACGGTAGTATGGTAGTTGTCAACACAAACCAGACAAACTGAATCCTACAGTATGAAGAATTTACTCATTTATTCAATGACAATCATGTCATCATCTTCTGGAACATCATCATAACAATCCAATTCCTGAATTTCCTGGTGAATTTCTTGACTCCATTTCTTTCAGAATCAGTGGACCAAATCTCTCATGTTTAGCAATAGTATTCTGAGACAGAGCCTAGGGGGGGCCTTATTTTCGAGGGGATACCTTATATTTCACTCAGAAGGACACCTGTAAGTAGATCTTATTTTCGGGGAAACACGGTAGAGACTGTTTGAAGTTTAATTCTGTATTTGAATAATGCAAGCTGTGAATCACTATGTTTAGAGCTATGAAAATCTTTGTCTTCACAGCTTGTCTTCCTGACTTTTCAAGCAAGGTTGATTCTTTATTCCATTTTAAACTTTAGGCCTAATACATTAGTTTTAACTCACCCCTTAGCTAATTTTACAGACATTCAGTGGAACCTCTTTATAATCCTGCAGGTAGGGCAGTGGATTGGCAATCATGTGAGCAGGCCTAAACTCCATGCAATTAAAATTTTAAGGATTATAATTTGACCTCTGATGATATATCTATTATAAATTTGTAAGAGGTGTAAAAAATTGTTTTATAATGGAGTCTGCATGTAGTTTTACAAAAAAAAAAAAACACAAAAAACAAGTTTCTAAGGTAACAGAAATAAGTAGCATCTTGAAGCATCAGAGACTTCCTATAGTAGAAATTTTTTTTTTTTAAATATATTTTATTGATTTTTTAAATATATTTTATTGATTTTGTACAGAGAGGAAGGGAGAGAGATAGAGAGCTAGAAACATCAGTGAGAGAGAGTCATCGATCAGCTGCCTCCTGCACACCCCCTACTGGGGATATGCCCGCAACCAAGGTACATGCCCCTGACCGGAATCGAACCTGGCTCCCTTCAGTCCCCAAGCCAACGCTCTATCCATTGAGCCAAACCGGTCTCGGCTATAGTAGAAATTTTTAAAAATATATATATTTTATTGATTTTTTACAGAGAGGAAGAAAGAGGGATAGAGAGTTAGAAACATCGATGAGAGAGAATCATCGATCAGCTGCCTCTTGCACCCCCCCACTGGGGATGTGCCAGCAACCAACGTACATGCCCCTGACTGGAATCGAACCTGGGACCCTTCAGTCCGCAGGCCAATGCTCTATCCACTGAGCCAAACCAGTCTCGGCTAGTAGAAATTTTTATCACTTGATTTGTCACATTTATGTCAAACCCTTTTATATATTTGCCTCTAAAATTTCCTTCTGGAATTTTCTGAGATTCTGTAAGGAAAGAATAATACTGCACTGAATTTTCTAGAAAGTGGGTAACAAATAGGGAAAGACAATGTTATGTTTTGGTAGGCTAATTTTGTTCTCTTTTTACATTGAAGCTTTTGTTCGAAAAGATGCCCTGCCATTGGGAACCTTTTCCAAGTATACCTGGCATATCACGAATATCCTGCAAGTTAAACAAATCTTAGATACCCCTGAGGTAAGAGTTTATTTCTATAATAGTGGGAGGGCAGAGAGGAGAAGAGAGGGAAGCAAGTTAGGGAAGTATGTTTGTACCAATTCCTTGAGTTACAGACACCAAAAAGAATTCTGTTTTTCATATTTAGATTATTCAGTATAACATAGACACCCACAACTGAAACCTGTTCATGTTGGCCAATGTCACCCCAATAAATTTAATAAACAAAAGATTTAAAAAAGAGATTATTCAGAAATATTCATGGCTTTATAGTGCTGACTCTAATTTTAATGGGTATTCCCTAGAGCTTGAAAAGGTATCTTAGAGTATTCTTTTTCTTTGCCTTTGGGATCAGAAAGCAGGAATGATTTTTCCTATATATTAAATAATGATCTATCTATGGTTAGCCCTAAATTAACTAAAAAATATGTAAATAATTTGGGACTTCACACCATTTGTGAAATTAATGGGCCTAGCACAATTAATTGCTCCTCCCTAAACTGCAATTTAGTTCTCATTAGAAAAATGACCCTCAGTTTGTGTTCTTTTTCTCAAGGGAAAGATAATTTAAAACATTTCTGTCCAGCAGACCCTGAAAATGTGAGGGTTTTCCTTTTTTACAATAATGGAATATAGTAGAAAATTCAGTATAATGTGATTTGATGTGTTAAGAGAAGCTTATTTTCAAGATATTGTTATGTTCAGAAGAAGAATAAGTTGTTTAGTAGCTGTTATGTTCAGAAGAATCTAAGGCCTAGTATGTTAGCACTAAAGACATTTGAGGAACTTCCTTAAATGCAAGATATCACAGAGGCAGTTTCTATCCTGGAATAAGTGGTATTTAGGGAGGCACTATGCAACCCAAAGCAAAGTGAAGTGAGGGAAAAGAGCTAATGATCATTGAGCTTCTATCTGTTGGGCGTTATTTACCTGTATCACCTCATTCATGTATTTTGCAGATGAGAAACAGGCTATGAGATGCTCACCCTGCTGTTTAGTGGCAAAGACAAAATTCAGTTCAAGTTCTGTCTGGCTCAGTCCCAAGGATGGTGTGAAGCACACAGGATGGTGAGGTCAGCTGTAGGTGCTATCAATAGAGTTTTTAGGAGAATGTTCTAGCAGATAAGCAGGGGAAGGGAAAAAAAAAAACAAATTTAGAGCAGATCTATGCCAGTAGTGGTCCTTAGACATGAAGATGTTGGGGTTCATATTAAAGTTATAGAGAAAAAGGGAAAGCCAAGATATGAATGGTATAAGGAAAACAAGGCAGATTTGTTGACAGGATTTAATTGAAAATGCAATGGGAAATTTTAATTAATTTGGTTGTGCTTAGTGAGGAACAGTGAATACATAAACAATCTTTTCTCATCCAAGTGTTTGTCTATTTTGAAAGTTTTTCTTTCTCACCTTTCTTGGTATTGTCTCCATGTCCAGATGCCCTTGGAAATTACCCGAAGTTTTATCCAGAACCGGGATGGGACGTATGAGCTGTTTAAATGCCCTAAAGTGGAAGTAGAGAGCATAGCAGAAACCTATGGCCGTATAGAAAAACAACCAGTGCTGCGACCCTTGGAACTAAAAACTTTTCTCAAAGTTGGTAAGTGATTGATGGTTTCAATAGTGCATCTTCCAGTGAAGGTCAACTATGTGCAATGTATGTGCAATACATTGTCCTAGACTTGGATCTTGACCTTAAAGAAGGTACTCATTTTATAAATATAATCATGAGATAGGGTATTTTGTTTCATTTGAGCCAGGGCTTTAGAAATAAAATTATAGAATAAGTATTCATGGGGGGAAGGGAAGCAATGGTAAGATATGTACACATATAATGCCTTAATAAAAAAAATGAAAAAAAAGTAATAAGTATTCAATATAGAGAAATCATAGGTTTTATAAAGAAGAAAAATAACCACCTGTAATCACACCCACCAAAAACAGCATCACCATTAAGATTTTGGTAAAATCTTTCCAGACTCTTTTCTGTACGAAGTGTTTCTAAAACATGGGATCATACCTCTTTTTCCTTAAAAATAGTGTCCCCTTGCCAAAACCGGTTTGGCTCAGTGGCTAGAGCATCGGCCTGCAGATTGAAGGGTCCCAGGTTCGATTCCGGTCAAGGGCATGTACCTTGGTTGCAGGCACATCCCCTGTGGGGGTTGTGCAGGAGGCAGCTGATCGATGTTTCTCTCTCATTGATATTTCTGGCCCTCTATCCCTCTCCCTTCTTCTCTGTAAAAAAATCAATAAAATATATTAAAAAAAAAATACAGTATCCCCCCAAAAATGTATACATACTTGGAATAATTATTAATTCCAATCAGTTAAATATGAAAAGAAACAGAGCTATCAGCTGTTTAAAGTGTGTATACATTTTTGGGACACTGTATATGTGTAGGAATATAGTCACAATTTGACAAAATAGTTATAATGTCTAAATTTCTCCTAAAAGAATAAGTACACAATTAGGTAAGTGAATGAGGCCTGCTTGATAGATGGTAATTTAAGGTAATTTAAATTATGGCTGGCATTCATTCATTCATTCATTCTTCATTCAAGAAGTCTTTATTGAGTGCCTATTATGAACCAGGCACCATGCAATACTGGGGTACAGTGATGAACAAAAGTGATATAGTTTACTGTCTTGGAAAAGATGATAGTCTAATCATTGGAAAGAGAAGTGAGTATTAGATGGCTAGAAGTATAGGCTCTGGAGTCCAAAATTGCCCAAAGTTAAAGTCAGGTCCACCTACTAGTTGTGTAACTAAGCAGGAAGACTTCATCTATCCTCACCTCAGTTTATTCACCTATAAATAGGGATCACAGAATCTGTCTCTTAGTGAGTTGCTGAGCATTAAATTAATGCATTTTAAATCACTTAAGATAATACCTGTGCCAGGTATTAAATTATCACTTAAGATAATTTCCTGTGGGAGCCGCTGGGTAGAGAGGAGCGTGGCCCTCTCCTCTCTCCGCCATGGCGTGTGCTCGTCCACTGATATCCGTGAACTCTGAAAAGGGGGAAACATCTGGCAAAAATGTCACTTTGCCTGCTGTGTTCAAGGCTCCCATTCAACCAGATATTGTGAACTTCGTACACACCAACTTGCGTAAAAACAATAGACAGCCCTATGCTGTCAGTGAATTGGCAGGTCATCAAACCAGTGCAGAGTCCTGGGGAACTGGCAGAGCTGTGGCTCGAATTCCCAGAATCCGAGGTGGTGGAACTCATCGCTCTGGCCAGGGTGCTTTTGGAAATATGTGTCGTGGGGGCCTCATGTTTGCACCAACCAAAATCTGGCGCTGTTGGCACTGCAGAGTAAATATAACACAGAAACGATATGCCATCTGCTCTGCCCTCGCCGCCTCAGCCTTACCAGCACTGGTCATGTCTAAAGGTCACCGTATTGAGAAGTTCCTGAACTTCCTTTGGTGGTTGAAGATAAAGTTGAAGGCTACAAGAAAACCAAGGAGGCTGTTTTGCTTCTTAAGAAACATAAGGCCTGGAATGATATAAAAAAGGTCTGTGCCCCTCAGCGAAAGAGGGCTGGCAAGGGCAAAATGAGAAACCGACGTCGTATCCAGCGCAGGGGACCTTGTATCATCTATAACGAGGACAACGGTTTCATCAACGCCTTCAGAAACCTCCCTGGAATTACTCTGCTTAATGTAAGCAAACTGGACATTTTGAAACTTGCACCTGGAGGGCATGTGGGCCGCTTCTGCATTTGGACTGAAGGTGCTTTCCGCAAGTTAGATGAGCTGTATGGCACTTGGCGTAGATCTGCCTCCCTCAAGAGTAACTACAACCTTCCCATGCACAGGATGCTCAGCATAGACCTGAGCAGAATCTTGAAAAGCCCAGAGATCCAAAGAGCCCTGCGTGCACCACGCAAGAAGATTCACCACAGAGTCCTGAAGAAGAATCCACTGGAAAACCTGAGAATCATGTCGAAGCTAAACCCGTATGCAAAGACCATGCGCGGAACACCATTCTTCGTCAGGCCAAGAACCACAAGCTTCGGCTGGATAAAGCAGCAGCAGCACTAGAAGCCACGTCAGATGAGAAGCCTGTGGTGGGAAGAAAGGAAAGAAGGCTGTGGGCCCTGAGAAGCAGAAGAAGCCTTTGGTGGGGAAAAAGGCTGCAGCTGCCAAGGAACCAGCAGCTGAGAAGAAGCCCGCAGAAAAGAAACCCACCACAGAGGAAAAGCCCGTGGCATAAACTTAAATTGTTTATTCCAGAACGGTCAAGTCACTTTACTTTGGACAGCTAATTTTGAATAAAAAGATGATCAAAGGCAAAAAAATAAAAAAATAAAAAATAATAATAATAATAATAATACCTGGCACAATAGGTGCTTATTAAATGCTACTTGTTATAGTTGTCATTATTATTAAATTACTAGAGGCTTGATACACAAAATTTGTGCAAGAATAGGCCTTCCTCCCTCAACTGCTGGCACCGGCTTCCCTCTGGCATTCAGGATCTGGGCTTCCCTCACAGCCCCAGCTTTTTCCAGAAGGACATCGGTCTAATTAGCATATTGTGCTTTTATTATTATAGAATATACAAATATGTTAGTATTTACATAGTACTATAAAAATATATTTTTAAAATATATTTTATTGATTTTTTACAAAGAGGAAGGGAGAGAGATAGAGAGCTAGAAACGTCGATATGAGAGAAACATCGACTAACCGTCTCTTGCACACCCCGTACGGGTGGATGTGCCCGCAACCAAGGTACATGCCCTTGACCGTAATCGAACCCAGGACCTTTCAGTCCGCAGACTGACGCTCTACCACTGAGCCAAACCGGTTTCGGCTATAAAAAAATATTTTTATTGATTTCAGAGAGAGAGGAAGAGGGAGAGAGAGAGATAGAAGCATTAGTGGTGAGAGAGACTCATTGATTGGCTGTGGACATCAAGCCTGCGACCCAGGCATTTGCCTTTTACTAGAATCGAACCCAAGACCCTTCAGTCCACAGGCTGATGCTCTATCCACTGAGCCAATCTGGTTAGGGCTATAAAAATTTTTTTATTTAATATAAAAATAAATGATTTTATTAAAAATAGACAAAGAGCCGAGACCGGTTTGGCTCAATGGATAGAGCGTCGGCTTGGGGACTGAAGGAACCCGGGTTCGATTCCGGTCAAGGGCATGTACCTTGGTTGCGGGCATAACCCCAATAGGGGGTGTGCAAGAGGCAGCTGATCGATGACTTTCTCTCATCGATGTTTCTAGCTTTCTATCTCTCTCCCTTCCTCTCTGAACAAAATCAATATATTTTTTTAAAAAATAGACAAAGAGCTTGGCTAGTGTGGCTCAGTGGTTGAACATCAACCTATGAACCAGGAGATCATAGTTCAATTCCCAGTCATGACATATGCCCAGATTTCAGGCATGCAGGAGGCAGCTAATCAATGATTCTCTCTTATCATTGATGTTTCTATCTTTCTCTTGCTCTCTCCCTCTCTGAAATGGATAAAAAATATACTTTTAAAAATAAACAAAGAACCTGCCGAAACCGGTTTGGCTCAAGGATAGAGCGTTGGCTTGGGGACTGAAGGGACCCGGGTTCGATTTCAGTCAAGGGCATGTACCTTGGTTGCGGGCATAACCCCAGTAGGGGGTGTGCAAGAGGCAGCTGATCGATGACTTTCTCTCATCGAAGTTTCTAGCTTTCTATCTCTCTCCCTTCCTCTCTGAACAAAATCAATAAAATATATTTTTTAAAAAAATAGACAAAGAGCTTGGCTAGTGTGGCTCAGTGGTTGAGCATCAACCTATGAACCAGGAGATCATAGTTCAATTCCCAGTCATGACACATGCCCAGATTTCAGGCATGCAGGAGGCAGCTAATCAATGATTCTCTCTTATCATTGATGTTTCTATCTTTCTCTTGCTCTCTCCCTCTCTGAAATGGATAAAAAATATACTTTTAAAAATAAACAAAGAACCCGCCGAAACCGGTTTGGCTCAATGGATAGAGTGTCGGCTTGGGAACTGAAAGGTCCCGGGTTCGATTCCGGTCAAGGGCATGTACATTGGTTGCAGGCATATCCCCAGTAGGGGGTATGCAAGAGGCAGCTGATCGATGACTCTCACTTGTCGATGTTTCTAACTATCTCCCTTCCTCTCTGTACAAAATCAATAAAATATATTTTAAAAAAATAAAAAAATAAAGAACCCATAATTATCACTAATCAATTATATGAATTTGAGCTAGCAGAGATATTACTTATTTAAAGTCTTACATAGCTTTAAAATGAATCATGTAATTAAAATTTTTTAAAAAATATATTTTATTGATTTTTTACAGAGAGAAAGGGATAGGGATAGAGAGCTAGAAACGTCGATGAGAGAGAAACATCGACCAGCTGCCTCTTGCACACCCGCTACCAGGAATGTGCCTGCAACCAAGGTACCTACCCTTGACCGGAATCGAACCTGGGACCTTTCAGACCGCAGACAGACGCTCTACATTGAGCCAAACCGGTTTTGGCTATTTTTTTTTTTTAATATGTTTTTATTTTATTTCAAAGTATCAACCTTGAACAAAGTCATATATTTCTCCGGCAAAATGGGTATATTTAGAAACAGCAAAGTATTGCAGTTCAGGACCTGCAAACCATGTGCAAGTTCAGAGAACAAAAGGAGGAACTCTTCTTTCATAGAGGAAATGGGTCTGTTGAAAGGAGATGGTTAGAAACAATGAGTTCCTTGGAGAAAATGGGGAGTTCAAAGTATAATGACTTTATATTTATTTCAGAGAGGAAGGGAGTGGGAGAGAGAGAAACATCAGTGATGAGAGAAAATTATTGATTGGCTGCCTCCTGCAGGCCCCACACTGGGAATTCAGCCTATAACCTGATCATGTGCCTTAACCATGACCTGGTTCATAGGTTGACTCTCAACCACTGAGCTATGCTGGTTGGGCTTTTTAAACATTTGATTTTAGAGAGAGTAAGGGAGAGTGTTGCCTTTTGTATGCTCCCTGACCAGGAAATGAACTCACCACCTTTTGGTGTATGGGACAATATTCCATCCAACTAAACCACCCTGTCAGGACTTTTTTTTTTTTTTTTTTTTTTTTTTTTTTTTTTTTTTTTTTTTTTTTTTTTTTTTTACTAGTCTCCCTTTTAATCTCATCCAGCTGTCCTTTCCTCTCAGTCTGGGCTTGCCTTATGATTCTTTTGGCCCTTTTTCTTACATCTTGGTCTTATTTTATTCAAGGATGCTAGACAGTTCCCTGAAATTTTCTTTTGAATAGATACAGTAATTCCTCTTACTTTCCCTTGATTCTTGTTTTTCCTTGTTATTTTTTTCTCATATAGCTTTTTTTTTTAAAACATATCTTTTTTTTAATTTCTTTTTTAAAAATATTTTATTGATTTTTTACAGAGAGGAAGGGAGAGAGATAGAGAGCTAGAAACGTCGATGAGAGAGAAACATCAACCAGCTGCCTCTTGCACACCCCCTACCGGGGATGTGCCTGCAACCAATGTACATGCCCTAGACCGGAATCGAACCTGGGATCTTTCAGTCCGCAGACCAACGCTCTACCACTGAGCCAAACCGGTTTTGGCTCATATAGCTTTTTTAAAAACTAACTTTTCTTTATCTTTTTTTACTCCCGAACAGAGTGAGATCTGTCCTGACTCAAAATTAGAAATTGTACTAATTCGTTGTTTGTTTGTTTGTTTTTGTTTTTTTGTTTTTGTCTTCAGGCAACACTTCCCCAGATCAAAAGGAGCCAACCCCTTTCATCATTGAATGGATCCCAGATATCCTTCCCCAGTCCAAGATTGGCGAGCTGCGGATCAAGTTTGAGTACGGTCACCACCGGAATGGGCATGTGGCAGAGTACCAAGACCAGCGCCCCCCTCTGGACCAGCCCTTGGAACTGGCCCCTCTGACCACTATCACTTTCCCTTGAGGCAAAACAGTGGAGTGTTTTGCACATCCCTATCCCTTGACAAGTTTAAATACCAGTTAGGTTCTTTGTGAACTGCTTTTAGCTATGATGCAATTTCTTACCACATCCAACTGGATTCTGTTGAAGAAAAACTCTGTAAATGGCCTTTTTGGTGCTGCTCTGTATAGTCCTCATTATAGATGGGGTGATATTTCTGGCTAGAGTGTTTAAAGGAACAAAAAGAAAACTAGTGCATTTTCTTTCTTAAAGGATTCACCTTTATATTTGTCTCAACCTTTGAAATAGTTAACAACACCCCACCTTACACTAACAATGTGGAAACGTTAATAACATCCTGGTTAGGAAGAACGTTAAGGACCATTCTGGCAGAGCTCCAGTCATGCCCTTTTATTCTGTTATCAAATAAAGCACAGTTTCTTAGTTTTTCTAAATTATACCTCATGTTGGCCTGATTTTAAAATTATACACCATTGAGATGAATTTAGGTTACAGTGAAATTGGAAAAAGATGTCCAGTTATCAAGAGAATATTGACAAATAAAACTAATGCTTATATTTACTTCCTTTCTGAGTTCATAAATCACAGAATGGAGATATGAAAGACACAGAAGTGGAAGCCTGTTTTCAAGGAGAAAAGGGAATGAACATTTCCTATATAACTACTATGTGCCAGATATTTTTATTTGCATTCCTCCTAATTACTTTCCTCATTTAGTCTTCATTATTCTTCTGGGCCCAGCAATCCCAGTCACATAAGTCCACCCCATCTTTCATTGATTCCTATGTCTATCTGTCAATAACCTGCCCATTCCTCTAGCCTACATGTGTATATATATGCATGCACACACATCACACACACCAGCCCCAGCTACTTAACAGATTGCAAACTGTGTATATGATAGAACCTGACACTGTTCTGTCAGTGCCAGGTTCTATGTCAGAAAGAGCCCAGAACTTTCCTCCACTAGAACCCAGGGAAAGACCACTCTATTTGCTAAAAGTGAGGAAATGGGCAGGGGCTGCCTTCCTCTAGTCCTTTGAGTGCACTGGACCCTCTCAATCACAAGATACAGACAACACACACACACAAAAAAACCCCACAAAGAACAGCTCTTGTATTTTGTGAATTTCCCTAAGATGGACCTGCCTACTTCAACCTATTTTTTTTCTTCTTATTTTCTCCCAGATTCTGAGTTCCTAATTTTCCTCCTTTGCATTTTGTGGTATTTTCTAATATTTCTAATTTGATATTCTTGTTAAATCTCCTTCCAGACTTTGTTCCCTGTCTGCCTGCCTTCCCATCTTCCAGATCTTACTACCATCCCACCTGCTTCATCAAGGGAATAGAATGACTTGTTTTACAACAGTTCTTTAATGTGCATAAGAATCACCCAGGAATTTAGTGAGAACACATTCTGATTCAGAAGTTCTAGAGTGGGGTCCAAGGTTCTCTATTTTATCATCAAGCTGGATGCAGAAAGTACTGAATTGTAGAGACGCTGCTAGACTGCAGACTGACCACCTTTCATGCAACTAATGGGGGCAGGACTGGAGGTTAATGGCAGCAAACAGTTGCTCTTGCATGTGGCTTACGGTACTAGTTAGCACATAGCTAGATGTTTCAAGGCAATGTATTAGTGTGAGCTGCTTTATGGCATGCTCCCATAAAGCTGCTCCTACTGATGGAGGGGCACTGGTCTTGCTCCTCCAATCTAGTTCTAACTCCACAGCCCCAGAAGTAGACAGTGGGTATATAACCATATAACTTCCTGCGGTTTTTCTGCCTTCTCCCCAGCACCACATTTCCCATTGCCCTCCCCAGGAACCCATCATTCTAAAATTTCAGATTTGAAGCCCTGAGTTCAAACCCCCACTCTGCCACCTGTTTAACCCTCTGAGCCTGGATCATGTGCATAGTAAATAGGATACTGATTGAAAAACGCTCATTAAATAAGTAACCATTACACTTTCGCCTATTATTTGCACTTCTTCCTCTCTTTTGTGTTTTTCTAACTTAGCTGTGAGGCTGTAATGGTGCTTTGTCCATCCTTGGGAATTATTTTTAAAAATATATTTTTATTGATTTCAGAGAGGAAGGGAGAGGGAGATGGGAACATCAATGAAAAGAATCATCGACTGGCTATCTCAACCCTTAACTGTACCCTTCAGTCTGCAAGCCAGTGCTCTATCCATTGAGCCAAACCAGGTAGGATAATCCTTGAGAATTTTTGTACCTAATACCACTGTTATTGCAGCAAGATCGCAATATATATATATGCTGGCTAGAGTGTTTATATCCTTTTCTTTTTTTCATCATTTTCTTTATCTCCTCAAATTTCCTATAATGAACATTTACTTTGGTCAACTCGAAAAATGGCAAGGTTACAACCACAAAAGAAGGGGCATAAAAATCAAGCTTCCGTACTCGACTGAAAGGAGGAAAACAAGACAGGGACCGCGGCGGCTGGGAGGCGGTCACGCGGCCCCTGGCCTCTCGCCTCCGCGAGATGACGTCAGTCACGTCCTCCCGCCCGCGCCGCCGCTCGCGGCCAGTGTGACCGCTCTCCCTCCACCAGGCGGCGCCGCTGGGCGTTCTGCGGTCGAGGCTCCGGCGCAGCCGCACTGGCTCTCCCCGACACGTCCCCACCTTCGCGTCTTTTCTGGAGAGCGCGGGAAGGCGAGTGCTAGGGTGGTGACGTCACCGGGGTTCCCCGCGCGGCTGGCGGGGCGGGGCCGCGTACGTGGCGCACGCGGGGAGGAGGAAGGAAGGGGGTTGTGGAGCGCAGGACCCCGCTGGGCCTGACGGGGCTGCGTCCGCTCCGCGGCCCGCCTCGTGACCCACTGTGGGGCCGAGCCCGGGCCCCGCTGCGGGGAAGGTGCAGACGAGGCGGGTCTCGGCGGGGAGGGGCGCCGGCGGCGAGGCGCAAGGCTCTCCCGAGGTCGTGGGCCGGCATGCCGGACCGCCCCCAGGACAGCTCGCCTTTAGGTTCGCTTTTAGGCTGAGCACCGACTTCTGGCGCCCTCATGCGGGTGGGACCGGTCCTGGAATCTAACTCGCGGGCCCTCCGGGACAGCGGAGCGGACGCGGAGCACGTGGGGCCGGGCCGCACCCGACCCCATTTTCCTGACCGCGCGGCTCTGCGGGCCGAGGCGCCGCGCTCCCGGCCCAAGCCCCGCCCCGCGGTGACGTCATCCCGCTGTCGGCGGCGAGCGCCGGCCGGTCCCTGGCGGGCGCGGAGAAGAGAGCACGTGGGCGCCAGGAGGAACCCGGGCTTTGACCTCTGGGGCTGGGCCCACTACTTTCTGTTTTCCTTGAGCGCGTCAGTCACTGTTTCTGAGCTCCGGTTTTCTCCTTTAAAATAGAAGTTAGTAGCATTCACTTTACGGATTGATTAATCTGGGCTTAGCACACAGTAGGTGGTCGGTAAAAAAAACATAAAAATTAACTTCTCCACTTCTCTTTTTTTTAAAGATATATTTTATTGATTTTTTTTTTACCGAGGAAGAGAAAGGGATAGAGAGCCAGAAACATCAATGAGAGAGAATCATCAATCAGTTGTCTCTTGCACACCCCCCACGAGGGACTTGCTCGTAACCAAAGTACATGCCCCTGACCGGAATTGAACCCAGGACCCTTCAGTCCTCAGGTGGACGCTCTATCCACGGAGCCAAACCGGTTTCGGCCACTTGTCCACTTTTCCCTACTAGGTCCTTAGAGCCGGCTTGCAGTTGCACTAATCTCTGAGTAATCCTTAGAACAAAAGACTGTGTGTGGTTCCAAGGTAGTGGTTTCTAATCGAAGTTTCCACAACCGGCTCGGTGGCTTTGGAAGAAAAAAGTGGCGAATGGCTGGTCCTTGACCTGATGAATTGAACCTGGGCCTGCTCAGAATTTAGGGAGGGGTTATTCCTGAAATTTTCTCTGGGCCCTAGCACCTGTGAAACTAATGGTAAATTTCTGGCTGGGAGCCCAGTCTAGGGTACACTCTGTCTTGGGGCACCCTTCAGTTATCTTTATCCTCTTGCTTCCCTTTCTCAGAATCTTGTACCTCATATTGCATTGCTATGGCCAAGTCATATTTCCTGGGGAGAAGCTAGCTGCCAGCTGCTATATGAAGTTGGTCTAACAGAGTAAACAATAAAAGACTATCTCCTGGTAGGAAAAAGTTAATGTATTACAAACTGCTTATTTAGATGTGTCAAGAACAGTATTAGATATTTCGCTCAAGTTATTATCTCATTTGATTCCCACATCTAGTCCTGTGAGCAAGGTGGACTTAACTCTATATAGAGGAGGAAATTGTGGTTCAGCAGATATTGATAAAATAAAGGCCTCACATCAAGGATATGGTAGTGCTCTTGGAGGCCATGGTAAAGTTCGAGTTAGTACCTAGTCACCCCTTCCCAAGAGTACTAGATGCTGAAGTCCATCCTAGAGAGTTTAAGTGAAGGATTCCCTCATGTTCCCATGCTTTTGGCCACTCCTGACATTTTTATCAAGGCAAAACCAGGTTAAGTGACACATCAAGGGCAGCATTTGAAGCTCAAGAAGCACTGCCTGGAAGAAAGCTGTTCCCATAAGAAACATCCAAAGCTGCAGAGAGTTTTTGAGTTTGTTTGAGTCAAATTGATGACATATGCTGGGGAGTGAGATCTCAAATGCTCCAAAGAATAATAGTTTGCACTTATTTTATGCATTTAAAATTAAAGCGGGAATGCAAGGAAAACTAGATGAGCATGGGAGAAAGCAAAACGCATTGGATTAAGACATTACGTGCTTTCTTAAGGGTGGTTATGTCTTGAGTATTATGGCATCTCAGAGGTGTGTTAACCTAGGTGCATAAGAACAGTGAGCAAGGCTTGCTTTAAAAGTTTTCACTAAATTAGTTATATACCCACCATGACCTGCCCAGTTAGGAATTTATGGCTTATTACAGCATCCGTTTCTCATCCACAGGGGAAGAAGGAGGGGGAGCAGAGGCAGGAAGCCAGTTTTGCCAAG